ACCATATATATTATAGAAAATTATGAGAAATATTTGACTTCAGTTGGATCATATTCACTCAAAATCAAGTGAAAAAAACCTTTCAACACACCTTGCAACATATTTAGGTATCTACTTTGACTTTTTTTTTAAAAAAGTCAAAAATGTTTCTATTATAACGTATTTACAGATTTGCAGTGATGGCATTTTGTACGGTTTGTTTACTTTCTGATTCAACTGCTCGTCGTTTGAACTGTGTTTGGTGATAAAAGAAAGCTTAGGTTTCTATTGATACCAAACAAGTCCAGGTTCAACTGACAGATCTGAAGTTAAAAGAAGTTAAAATAAATAAAAAAAGGAAAAAGCTGTTCTGCGTGGGACTCGAGGTTAATTCAATAATGTGAAACAGGTGTGCTGAAGCAGGGAAACAGACGTGCAAGGCAGTGGTCCACAAACATCAGGGGGTGTATAGTTTTGAATTAGAAAAKCTGAGCTTGCTGTTTTGCTTTACCTGTGCTAAAGGGTAGATGGACTGCGTGCTGCTCGGGCCTCCAGGTCTGCTCTGCTCCACCTGTGACTCCTTTTTGCTTTTCCTGCGTCGCCGGGATCTTCTGAAGGACTGCTTCTCCTCAGCCTCGCTGCTGTCTCCCATCACCTGCGGGGAACACTGAAACCAGGGACAGATAGATGAGCGGTCCTTGCCTGCTTCTGTATAAAGCTTAGCTTATACGACAAGAGACAGCGGGTCGCTGATTTCATCATTAAGACGTCTTTTTCCTGACTAACTGAAGAAATTTAAAGTTATCAGAGGTTAGTACTGATTTTAAAAGCACAACATTATATTTTTAGGTTTTCCTTTTTATAATGTTTTATAATAATGTTTTGATTGATATAGATTAGTTACATGCCCGAATTATAACAACACATAATTAAAACGTTATGAAAACAGAAGATGAGATTTTTGTATGAATGCCTGTGATTCAGCCGTAGGTCAGTAGGGGGCGAACGCAGGCATTGAAGAATCGTATAAATGGATGCACTTCCTGGATTTTGGCCAGTGTGGTTTCCTGTCATCTCCAGTGGCAATAAACCCCACTCGGTTCCAGAATTCTGATTTTGTATGGTTTTATTCCTTCTACAAATCAGTTTATTTAACAATGGTGGTTTTCATATTGACTTCAGTCGATTGAACACGTATTTTCTTACATAACTATAAACGAGCTGAAGATGCAGCGGGCCATAAATGATCATACTTCCTCCCTCTGCCCTCCCGTAGCTCATATAAGTTCAAAAACAGCAATAATGATGGCTGGATAATGTGTTTTCCCCCCAATTTTTTTGTTTTGTTAAAGGTGATGCTCATGTAGGATCAAACCAGCTGCTTTTCTACTTCTTCAGATAAAAAAAAATCCATTTTAAACAGAATAACCTGCAGAGGGAAGAGCTGCTCTGGTCCAGCTCAGCAGCGCTGCATTGCTCCTCATGAACAAACACACCCACTAAGTTTTAACCAATCACACGCTCCGAGCCGCAAGGTCCGCGTCGCAGAGCTCTGACWTGGCAATTTACACCACAGCTGTCACCGGGGGATGGTAGCGGGAGAGCAGACGGAAGTTTCGCAAGTTTTTGTCACTCAGCAGGGGAACGAGACGTGCGAATCGAAGTACAAAACAAGCTTAACATGTCAGAACTGAAAGTTTCTGTATAAATCTGTAGWATGAAATATTTTAAGCTCGATCCTTTTCAACAACCTTCGCAAAAAAGTAGTACATGCAAGTATCCTTTAAGTATACTAATTTCAAACAAAAAATAAGAGTATATTCCAGTTTACTTTTTATGTACTTACTGTATCTAAGATATACTTAACCAAGTTTATTTTACACTATACTTGGCTTGTACTAAAAGTATACTAAAAGTTTAAATATACTTAGTTTATACTAATGTTTCAAGTTTTGGCCAAGTTAAATTTTAGTAGTACATTGAAAGTACATTTTCACACAGCCTGGTTTATTAGTGGTATATTTCAAGATTAAACTAAAATTATGCTTCTGAGAATACTTTCATAAACTTATTGTGGGCCAATTTAGTCCTAGAAGTATCCTTGCTAGTAAACTGCTAGTATACTTATATCAGTGTACATGGTAAATAAAAGTACATTTAGGGAAATACACTTTTATATACTTTAAGTACATGCCATTAAGTATACTAAAGTATACTTCTTTTGGTAAGTTTATAAACTTAAAAAGACATTATAACAGTATATTTAAAGT